AACAGGCTTCGAGTCGTGAATTCGGGCATCGGGCCAAGAAAAGCGGATATTGCGCTAAGGATATCAGAGTTGTGGAGTCAACTGACCGATTGGGCAATAGGCCACAAGAGACGACGATGCGCTGAAAAATCGGACGAAGCGTCCAGGGACCAATGACATGCCGAACAACTTGATTAATACTTAGTATTAATTGTGTAGATCGAAGTGTGTTTTTACATGTGCAGGATTAACTACGATAGCAAGGCATGAAGCAAAATGAAGTCCCAGAATCACGGACGCGACTTCGTTGGGAGTTCGAGAGTTCGTCGGAAGTCCGGACGTTCATAGAAGTACTAGCAGAACCAGTCGAGAAGTCTCGGAGCTTGCCAGAGAAGCTCGTCGAACTTGCCAAGAAGATCGTCGTGAAGTCCAAGAGCTTGCCAGGAGTCCGCCGGAACATTATCGAGAGATCAGCGGAAGATCGTCGGAAGCTCGTCGGAAGAATATATATAGGGACTAGTTTTGCTTAGCAAATGTCTTAGGATTTCGTAGTTAACACGTAATTGGGCTTGAATTTGGGCCAACCCAATTAGGGGCCAGCAAGGCCTATGTAAGAACTATGTTGGGCCCAATAAGAAGTTCAAACAATGCCCAAATGAGTCTCACCATCAAGGCACAGTCTTCGAGACTGTGTCAAGCGATGGTACCGCCAGTCTAGGCGATGGTACCGCCAAGCACTGCACCCCAGGCAGTGGTACCTAATAGCATATAAGATTTCTTCATAATAAAAATGAAATAGAAAGAAGAAAATTGTATTGAAGAAGCTTTAGCTTGAATACATTAACATGTCCCTCTCTTATTTATATAAATTAGTATGGAGGATTTTCCTCAATAGAATAGAGGATTTCCCTCAACAAACTAGAGAGATTTCCTCGTATAATTGAGAAAATCTTATCTGCTATCATGCCCCCGCAAGATGGTACTCCTGTCAAGGATACCAATCTTAGATTGATGCAAAGCAAACAGTTTACGAGCTAGAAGCTTCGTGAGTAGGGCAAGAGCAGATCGCTGCTGCTATTGTTGCTGTTGCTATTGCGACGGCTACAACAGCGATGGCTGCAGCAGAGGAGAAAGCTGCAACAATGGAAAAAGCTATAGCAATGCTGTAGCAAAAGAATAAGCTACAGTAGAGGAGGATGCTATAGCGGAGGAGGAAGCTACAACAGAGGTACAACAGAGAAGAAAGCTGCAATAGAGGTGCAGCAATGGAGGAAGCTGCAACAGAGGAGGAAGCTGCATCGATGCTACAATAGAGAAGAAAGCTACAACAAAGGAGGAAAGGTGGGGGCAGTGTTGGTGAGCGCAGCACTAGAGATGCCACAGCGGAAGTGAACGGACGTTGGCGTAGAGTGGTAGTGGAGAATACAGTTGTCGTTCGCCGAGGAGGAAAGATTTGTCGCACCAACGGCCTGACGACGGAAAAGCAGTAGTAGAAAGCCTTTTCTTTTGCCGCCGAAGGTGGAGAAGCAACAGTGATGAGTCGGCAGCGAGAAGAGAGCTTGCTCTAGGCAAGCGACTCTGATACAATGATGGAAATGAAATAAAAAAAAAATATTGAAGAAGCTTTATTGAAGAAGCTTTAGCTTGAATATATTAACATGTCCCTTTCTTATTTATAGAGGATTTTCCTTAATAGAATAGAGGATTTCTCTCAACAGAGTAGAGAGATTTCCTCATATAGTTGGAAATCTTATATGCTATCAGTACCGCCAGACTTGTGCGGTACTACCACCCAGGGCAGTGTCAGCGTCAAACGGACATTGGGCGGTGGTACCGCCCAACGCAGGCGGTAGTATCGCCCGTGCCCGGGGAACCCGGGATGGGAGAGTTTTAGGCTCCAAGTTTGAATCAACTTGAATCCTATAAATATCCCTCTCATCCCTGGTTAAAACACACAAGTATTGAGAGTAAAAAAGTATAGAAACACTGCTACATTCTTGTGTGAGCTCCTCTCAAAGTTCTAAGTGTTAGAATAGATTGAGAGAGGAGTGAGTGGGGGTGTAAGGGTAATCTTCTAAGTCCGATAAAAGGGAAATTTAGTTGTAAAAGGTAATTGGCCTTCGCCTATTGAAGGAAGGCCTTTAGTGGACGCCGGTGACATCGTCGGAGGAGGAAGCCAAAAGTGGATGTATGTCACGTTGACCGAACTACTCTAAAACTGTCGTGTTCTCTGGTTTATATTTTATTCTTGCATTTACCTTACTGCAAACCACCATACATGCTTTACTTCCTCGTTACTTTTGCTGCATACATTTACGAACGTGTTTCAAGTTAAGATATTTACGAAACGATTTTACGTCGAAAATCGATTTTATCATAACAAAATTTTTGAAGACGTGATTTTACCGCTGCACTGATTCAAACCCTCCCCTCTTAGTGTCGACCCGATCATAACAATTATTTTAGATAGGGTGTAGAAAAAAAAATTGATGAACTTAACTAAAAATAGTTGGAGTTGAATTTGTAGTCAATAGGCATTATATTTAATCTTAAAGTTCCTAAAGATAATTGTCCTGGACAATTTCTACAAAATAGTAAAAGAATTCTAAAGAGAGAAAAAAGAGCTGATTTTAATTGCCAAAGGAATTCTAAAGCTTTAGGAAATGATTTTTAAGTGGTGTAGGAAATGGAGTTCACTTCAATGCTTCTTAAACTCGCTAACACGCCCAATCATTGTGACCGTTATATTAATTAAACCGGTTCTGAAGCTTCCCGTTATGGCACTATGTGTAACGGGTCTTCATAAACCCGGTAACAAACAGCTGATAACATACAGCGCCAATGCAGGCCTCGGCTCCCCTACGACCCTTCGTCACCTCATCTATCACCGTACGATCGAGATCCAACGGCCGCCTGATCCTCTCCTCTCGCCCCTGCCTCCTCCCACCCCTTTGCCCGCCCGTCCGATCACCTCCGGTGGCCGCACCGCCCTATCTCAGCCGCCGTGCGCACTCGCCCCTCCGCGACGTCGCCGTCCTTATGGCGTATCCGGGCTCCTCCTCGACTCCTGCCAGCCTCGCGGAGCTACACGATGCCCCCGACTTCGATGCCCTCGTCGACCCCGATGGCTACCTCTCCGTGGTAGGCTTTGGGTCTCTCCTCTCCGGTAACCCTCACCGCCTCTCCCCCTTCCTCTCCTTCGTCTTTCTGACGCCCCGATCCCCTTGATCGGTCTCTTCCTGCGGCAGAGAGGAGCGCGAGGAGCACTTTCCCCGATCTCAAGAACTTTCGGGTTGCGGTGCTTCGTGGGTTCCGGCGCGTCTTTGCTCACGTTGCGCCGATCTTTTTCGAGCGTGGCATTGCCAACGAGGAGACGGGGGTAAGAATTGAGTTCCTTCGAATTAGTGCTTTTAGGAATTTATGAGCTTCAAAGGCTGCTTCTTTGCCCTAATTGGTGATATGAGATGGTTTCAGGAGGTCTCCAGCTTGAGTGTGGAGCCATGCGAGGGGGAATTCCTTATAGTGACTGTCTTTGAGATCAAGAGTGAAGAGGTGAGTTCTATACTTCGCCTTATATTTGATTGCCCATGACAAAGTGTTGACCTTTTTTGGGGAAACACATTGAAATCGATCCTTTCAACTTGTGATGAGTCCAATGAGCTTTGCAGGTTCCTGCCTTCATTGAGAGGGAGAATGAATTCAGATTCTTAGCAGTGAGTCACTGTCTTGCTTGATCATTTGCTTGTTTTGGTGTTTAATTACCATCGAGAAACAATTGCTAATCCTTTTCGTTTGGTTGGGCAGGTGGTTCCTGAAGGTTTGGATGGGATTCCTTTTACCAGTCCTGCTGTGAGTGTGCCAGGAACTGAGTTATCTCTGGCTGCAATTATGCGTCGTGCTTCTATTTGCTCAACTACAGTTTGATTGGTCGGGCTAACAAATTGCAGTTCATGGATGATTCAGGTCGTTTGTGCTCGCTACAGCGATGAAGAGTATTTTCAGATTAGATGCAAAGGTGGTGATTCTGTCCTTTAGAATCATAGTACTTCTTGTTTGCTTATGCAGGTCCTGAAACCTAACATTTATAGAAGTGCATGGCAAAGCTTCTAGCAGAAGGATACATCCAATGATAGAATATCATCTATCTGAATTACCCATTACCAATCTTGTAGTAATCTTTGTACACATTTTTTTGGATTTTAACAGTTCATGCATCTTGGGCTAGTCTGTATGGATAGATGAAAGAGAGACTTATCTCGGCCTAAGATAATTGAGTCAGGAACTGGGAGACTGATAGGAAGTCCTAGATAATTGAGTCAGGAACTTCTTCCACAAGCATTCGTGTGAATTTCCTAGTTCATTGAGATCTTAGATGATACCTCTGCAATTTTAATTGCCATTCAGAAGACATCTCCTACTGGCAGATGTCGAATTAAATTTGATAAATTATTTGATTCTACTCTTTAGTTATTAAGTTCATGCTGCTATTTCCTCCTCTGCAGGCAACAAAGATATTTTTTTCCAGCATTACGGACGATATAACATACAAAAAATATGGCGAGATGATATTTTGCCTTGTCGCATTTATCTTAGGCATTGGTAAGGATTAGTTCTTTTATCTTTTCTTTGTTATACATATGTGCTTTATTTTCAAAGTAGGTTATAGTGTTATGCTGTCATCATTGTCCATGATGATGACTTTTGAGGTATAGTTGGCACTAGTGATGAACAAAATGACTTAGTTATTTTCTCTTTTTTTGTTTTTGTTTTCCTTTTTGCAATGTCGTCGAGATACCTAAGAAAAGGAAATGAATTGTAACATTCTTTTTTGTTCTAATTCTATAGCTAAAAGTTGTTTCAGAGGCACAGCATGTGTGAAGATAACATTCTGAAATCAGGATAGTTGACGGCATCCGCTGTTACATATGGTTTTATGAGATTATTAGGAAGTTTATATTTTCTTTGCAAACTTAAAATCAGTATTAGGGGCAGTCGACATTTGATCTTACAAATATGCCTTTCACTGAAAGATCTGGAATAAAACATGAACTTACTAGCTTGAATGGACCAAAACCTAATTTTGTGTTGGCAGATTTGTCAATCTCCGATGGCACAACTTGATCAGCCAAAGTCTCGTAGGAAAAGAAAATTAACTGGGCTTAAAGGAAGCTGATCCCCACATAGGGGACAATATAGTAGTTGAACAACTTGGAACCATGCCATCATGTCAAGGAGATCATCGTATGATATCTTAAACGTCTTGGCAAACGGAACATGATATGCAAGATGATCTTTTATATCTCATCTAGTCTCCATGTTCCCAAATCAACTCTCCTGGAAAGACATCTTGTTATAGCTGGAACTTTTAGGGCCTTCAGTTCTCTAGAATCAAGGGAGGGCTCTGAACTTTTCTATGAGATCATGCTGAAGCTAAATGGTCTTAACTGAGAGCTTATGAAATGTACTCTAAATGAGAGCTTATGAGAGCTAAATGTTCCTCTAACTATAGAACTTTTCTATAGTTGCCTAAGATCCCTATTCAATACTTGCGCATATCCAATATTGTTTCAATCTAAATGTACTCTCTATTACACATCTATGCATTGCAGTATATGGTTTTATTGTTAAAGTGAAAACAATAAGCATAATCAGTTTAGCATAATAGCCTTTCAAGGGTCATTTGTCTTTGTTATTCTTCCTCACAGTTTCTTATCATTCCAATCCTCCATAAAAATGTACCATGTGTAAGATGATACATGACCTCAGAATTAAGTGGAAGCAATTTCATGGAGAACTTGTTAGATTAATGTGGTTACTATTACGAGTTGCTGACTATAAACTGCAAGCGATTTCATATTTAGTATTTGCATGAAAACTGACATAATTATGCAGTGTTTTGGCAGCAAGAAATCTTGGGGAAGCAGCTTATGAGAATTTCTTGGATCATACCTTCATCAGTGACCGCAAAACGAGTATCCGCCAATACCTGACCTCAACTGGATCAGGAATTATGGAAGAAGAGCCACCAAAATCTCTCAGATACAGATATGGTGGGTGAAGATGGCCGGAACTTGCCCTCTTCCTCAAAAGCATGCTGGAGATCTCTCAGTAACAGCATGTTGAACTGCTTCTTTGGAATATTTGCATCTGCAGCTATTGTATTTCCTGCTGAACATGGGCAGATGAACATTATTTTTTTTGTAATACTTACATTATTCAGGCAGTATTTTGGATTTATGTTAGCCGGAGGGATATATATATATATATAGTTTTTGTCCATTTATTCTCTGCTTGCGATTGCAACGTTAGCGATATGTATTTTTCCTTACCTGCTCAACCTGGTTAACTAGTGACTCGAGACGGTCAGCGGGACCCACCGACCCACCCATGGGGGTGGCGACGTCTTATCAACCCCGTGTGGGAGCTGTCTTGATGGCCACAAAGAGGATAAGCACGGCGTGTCCTCCGAGGCTTGTGAAACGATTGAAGTGTCCCCATCCCCCTGCCGTTTGCGCCATCGCTTTGCACGCCAGCCCTCGCTTCGTCATACCGCCTACAACAGCTGTCACGAGGTGGCAAGTCAACCCATGGCAACAGCATTCGCCGGTGCAAGCATCTCCGCCAGGAGGGCCGTCTCCGTGAAGGCAGAGCTCCCCAAGCCAAAGGGGACCCAAGGACAGCTCATTCTTTTACGGTTCAGCGGCCGCCGGGCGTCCTCCCATGGGTTTGCGCTCGTCACAAGCTTGCCCTCCACGCCGCCGAACATGTCGGAGAAGGTGGCAGAGAGCATCAGAAACGCGGAGGAGACATGCGCGGAGGACGCTGCGAGCGGGGAGTGCGCCGCGGCGTGGGACGAGGTGGAGGAGCTGAGTGCGGCGGCCAGCCACGCCAGGGACAAGCTCAAGGTCGGCGGCCCGCAGTACAATGGCCGCCGGGCGTCCTATCGTCGGTTGGCGCCCGTTGCAAGCTCGCCGCCCACGCCGCCCAACATATCAGAGAAGGTGGTGGAGAGCATCAAGAACGCGCAGGAGACGTGCGCAGAGGACGCGGCGAGCGGGGAGTGCGCCGCGGCATGGGACGAGGTGGAGGAGCTGAGCGCCGCGGCCAGCCACGCCAGGGACAGGCTTAAGGCAGACAACCCCGAGACCGACGAGGGCCGCACCTACGAGTAGAACCTGGGCGGACGAAGAAGCAATAATCCATTAGTTGTGTCAACATGAGAAGCAAGAAAGAGGTGATCGTACAGCTGCCAGAATAACAGTGGCTCGTCAAAAGACTGGCTGATGAATGGTATCAAAATAAGCAGTAATAGTCTACCACAGGTAAACCAGAATCCCAATCCAGTTCCTGTAATATGTTGCATGTACATCGATTTGTGTCAATGTTCATCAACGTGGAGCCATATACATAGCCAAGAATATAAACAGAATGATGCCTGGGTCAAACAGTGAGATCAAGGCCACTGTTTATCGCCTCGTGGCATGTTCTGAAGCCCATATATCTTCATTGCCATTAATATGCTTGTCTAATATACAAACAGTAATCCCATTCTGGTTGTCGATAAAGACACTCAGCTTAAGGATAATTAAGCAACAAGTCCATTTCTTTGCATGAGATAATGCATGTTGAAACAAAGAACGTAAGGAAAATGGCACTACTCATGTTTGGGCAGCTTTGCTTGTGATGACCGACACATATTCTGCAACTGTTGGGTCTGGCGATCTCTTTAGCTGAGCAAGGAGAGGAAATAGCTCAGATGATCGAAGGAAGCGTCTGCAAACAGCATGGTCGCACATTTTACGCAAAGCAAAGAGCACGATCTTAAGGGGGGACTCATTTTGAGTTTGCCCTCTACTAGGGCTTAGTGCTTTGGCAGAATAGTTACTAACCAGCTCCAGTAATGCCTGAATGAGAAAAGATAGTTAATGAGAGGTTAAAAAAGGGTAGAAACAGAATGTTCATATCATAGATGAGCTACTAAACCAAATTGTGGAGACAGGGCAGCACTAGGGTGTCCCGAGGAATCAATCCTAAATTCCAGATCAGGTTCGCTAAAATTCACAGGTGTATACAGTTATGTTGGCGCACCTGCATGGCACCGTGGGATATGATGTCTTCACAGAGGGCATTGGAATTTCGAACAAGGTTGCTTAGTGCACCAGCAGCATTGACTTTGGTTTTATCTTCTTCGGCCGAGAGTAGAAGCTTTGTCAGTTGAGGTATGCATCTTCTAAGCTCTTCATAGAGAACATCATTGTGGTATGCAGCATTCCCAACCTGAGAAATACAAAGGTGGGCTTAAGCTAAACAGATGACAGAAAATGTCCTTAATGTAGTAAGAAAATGAAAATAGCAGGATAAAGATGGAAAACTGTGGCAACTTGAGATCAGTATACAAAAGGAATTCTGTACTCTTCCTCTTGCAGCAGGATCTTAGAAAAAAATGCCCAGTCAAACTCTGGGTGCCACCAAATAACGAGAATCTTACAATGCCCAGTCAACTTCTTTGTGCATCATTTTAGACAATGATGTCGAGTATGAAATTAGAAATTTAGAACTACTCTAGTAACTTACAGCAAAACAAGCAAACTTCCTAGTACGTTTGTCTGGGTCAGCACATCTATCGATCAAGAGATCAATGACCCTATGTGTTGCCTGCAGAAGAACATGCAAGATATACAATTAACACACCAATGGAAAAAATGATTGAAAGACAAACTTGGTCATAATCTTACGAGTGAGCTGTAGAAGTAGGGACTGTGCCGACACATGTTTCCAATGGCACTACAAGCTTTTGCACGTACATCAGCACAATCACTACTTATAAAGTCCTTGAGGAACTCCAGCATACCAGCTTTGCTAATGGGTTCATAAAAGTCCTGCATCCATGCACTTTTCATGATAAGTTATTGTTAAACCAAAGAAATTTTGTTGACACTTGCCGAAGCCCATGTCTGTCGAATGAAATGTACAATACAATCTCAGTTGGCTTAGAGAAAAGCTCCTTGTTTCCACACTGAATCATCTAATGAAAATATCAAAGAGAAAATACATAACAACAAATATGTTCAATCTAAATCAAATGAGAGAAATATATCATTCATAATGTTTATGTTGCAGTAGCATGTCCTAAATATTGTACCTTTGACATCCGGGCAAGGTCAGATATTATCATTAGAAAGTCGAGCATAGCTTCCTTTGGAATGGATACACTAAGCAGCCTCCGTACTCTGTTTGGAGATAATAAACCTTCCCTAACAAGTTGCAATGCCAAGGGTCGATACCCAACCATTTTTGCCACAATGGCAATGGGCCTTGACACATATTTCAAGTCAACATAGTCCAAGCTGCAAAGAATGCGTCCAGGAAAACTGACCTGCAAATGAGAAAGAATAAAGATGGTTGAAAAACTGTGACAAACAGCAAGAAGAAGAATTATGAAGACTTTATGTCTAACCTCTATAAGAACTTGAACATAGTGAGGCATGTTGTTCCCAATAGCTTTGACCATATCCTTATTTTCCATAGCAAGTCTTCCACCAGGTGAACCAGTATTCAAGAGAAAGCCACTGTTAATCGATGCTGATGTCGATGGCATATTGGGGGAGCTCTGCACTGCAACAAAGGGAAATGCCAATAGATCAACTACTGTGTTTATTAGATCTCTAATTCCAGAATGTCCACCAGCAAGTCCCTCCCAAACGTTGAGTGCCATTAGATGCACATCAGATATCATGTCAATTATGAGCTTCACGTGTTCTCTTCTAAACAAAATCTCATGGAAGATTCCACCAGTGAGGCAGCAACACAAGGAAGTAAGTGCCCAAATAAGTCCTGTCGGAGATAATCCGACTCTACCACTCGTGCAATCTTTTTCATTCAGTGGATCTTTTATAAGCCCATCTGCCAACATATTTACGAGAAGCTGAGGAATGCCATTGGAACATGCTTGTTGAATACCCAGAGGGCCTCCCCACAAAAGCCTCATTTTTAACAAGCCGAGGCAAGCATCATTGAGTCCAAGCCGCCTTAAGAGCACATCACAAGATTTCATCTCATTGTCATCAGACAGGCAAAGCTTAAGTAGGTTGCGCAGTGTTGCCATTGAAGGCAACAGAGCTAGTGTGTGTTCAGAGATAGAGTTCCCATGCACGCCACTTTCAAGAGATAGAACTGATGATAAAGCCAGCATTGCTGATGCACAGTGAGGTTGAATGGAACTTGTCACAGCATCATCAGTCAAAGAAAGATGTGCAAGAACTGAAAGCCGTGTTCGCTGCTTTTTCTGAGAATTAGAAAGAATATATAATGCAGAACATTTTCCCATTACTCTCAAACGATCAGCAATCGTTGCCAAAGCAATGCAACAATGTACAACCAACCCACGGGGGTTAGAAAGCTTACATTTCTGATTACATTTTTCTCCTGAATCTTTGTTTAAATATGAAGCACATAAAGATAACAAGGAAAACATATCAGACACGATAGTTCCATCTCCACTCACATCTGTTTCAGTAACAGTAATTGATGAATTTGGTAAGCCACAGAGCACATTGCATGCAGAAGTGTTCAACAGACAAATCCTTGACATAAGCTGAAAAAATAAAGCTTTTATAAGTAACATATGGGTCAAGATCTTGACCAAATCTTAGAAGTTTTATAAAGTAAATTATCAGCTTTACTGATCCAAACACTCAAGTTATTTGTAAAAATGTTTGATTTTCTCTCATGAATCATAAAACTGTCTAAAACTAAGTCCAGGTGGTTTTCAAGGGTTTGTCAAAAGAAAGAATGACAAATACAAAACTTCTTATGAACATATAGTCATAGATTATCTCAAATATTAGGTTAATTTAAAATCACATTGATGTAAAAAATTTAAAGGCAACAAATTGATGCAAAAATTTAGCAAGAGAGAAGATACCTGAAGAGCAGCATATAATGCAGACTCTAGACCATTGTGAAAGCAGTAGTAAATGGCTACTTGAATTTCTTTCGATTCAAGAAAATTATTCACAACTATCTCAATAATTTTAACTGGCTCTGGGTGAAGTCGTAAACTTTGTTCTTTTTCGACCATATCAGGCTGCAATGAAGGATGCCTTCGTGAATAAACTAATGGGAAAGCATAAGCTTGCTCTTTTGCAGAAATAATCTCTGCTAAATTAATAAGATACCAAATGGCCTTGCATGATTCACATGCAGCTGGCACCATATTAGAAGACCCTGATATGAGACTTGTCCCGGACGTAGTTAAGCATTCAAGCAAAAGCCCCAAAATTTCAGATGCACTAGCATAATCAACTATCTGGAAAAAAGATTTTTCCATTGGCTTTGAGCTTTCAGATGACATGGATTGCTTTAGCCCCATTGCAATCTGAGACAGCATAACAGCAATGCATGCAGTACATTCATAGTGGATCCTTCCAGATGCATCAGTTGTTGATGCCAGAATCTACAGAAAAGAATTATAAGGATAATACCAAGGACCAATAAACAAGTTCTGCTGGACATAAAGAAATTACCTGTGAATAAAGCTCAACTAAAGCACTCCAGTGCCTGCAATAAGAATTGTAAATTTCACCTCTGCTAAGTTCCAGTAACTTTTTTAATATTGAAAGACTCTGCAAGGTCATTAAACAGTAAAATTCAGTCCAAAAGATTCTATCCTAAAATGATTATAGATAAAGATAAACTGCACACACCAAAATGCTACTACAGGTCTACAACCATAAAATGTAAAACTTCTTGCTACCATAGAACCTCCTATAAGGACGCTATAGTTGCAGTTAAGTTGAAAGAATTTATAGTCTTAATAGGGTTCAAAAAGACCTTGATGATTAAGCCTTGAGCATCACTAATCTTCATTTTGGCAATGGCAGCTGTGAATTCAAGAAGTACACATGTTATGCTATCCAAAGCTGGAGATGATTGAAGTGTCCCAGCAGCAATTAAATTTGTGAGAATTCTGAAGGACTGGCTTACAGTATCCATCTTAGGATTCCTGTGAAATTATAAAAAAACAAATATGGATTCATTAGCACAAAACAAGTGATGATAAATACATTAGAGTTACTAGGAATTGGGAAAAAATAATTACAATAAAGGAAAATACATTAAAAATTATTGATGTATTAAACAACTGCAGGACTATTAAACAAATAATAACAGAGAATACTAAATTTTACAAGATGACCAATACATGTTCTTATACATGAAAATTTACAAGTTTGGAAATCAAAATTATTGATGTATAACATAATTTGCCAATATTTGCATTCTTAAAAAAAGTAATATTCATGCCTGCAAAGTATGCAAATACACATGAAGATTGGATTTACCCGAAAGAACTGGCAGATCTCTGGGAGCAGGTTTGCAGTGGTTGTAAAACAGCTGATAAAGCTTCACTATCTTGACTAATATTTTTTGCACCTTTTACTGTACGTGAACCTTTTTCCAAAGCGTCCAAAACATGATTGTCTGAAAACAGCCAGGTGTCAAAGATACTAAAATCACATAAGAAACAATTATTGTGTTCTAAAACATGACACTAGTACCATGTGCACCCATGATACACCATATATTCCCAGTTTGACCAATTGATCCCAATAAAAGTTGCAAGAAAGCTCCTAGAGTACTTCTAAAATCAACCTTCTTTGTTTTATATATGTTTGGTTTGGCATAAGTCATGGAATTAAGAAGTTGTTTCTCTGAAAAGATTTCCATAGCTGGACTCAAGTCAGCTCACAGATTTCAGTCAACTTTTATGTATTCAGTTCAGGCCTTAAACCCACTTCAGACTTCAATTGTCCTCTGGGACTGATTGAACTCAGTCTATTGGCATTTTAGAAACACAATTCCTAAGAATGATACCCATAGGCTAGCTACAACAAAATACTAGCATGTTTTGGATATCAGCTCTAAGATACTACACCAGGAAATTCTATCATGAAAAACAGGATTCTTAATGTTTCTGTGTATCAAATAAATAAGAAATTTGCCGGGGTTTATGACACCATTTACCTGGAGGCACAATGTTCCAAAGAGTCATTCTCTGTGGCCACACATGCAGATGCAATCATGTATACCTCATAGAAGATACATTTGGGCTCAACATGCAATATTAATGTGATAGCAGATTATGCTCCCGCATGTGGTTGGTTGGCTGAATGAACTCTGCATGAGCATGAATATGCAATGGCACATGGGAGTTAGTTATATTTCACCCTTGTTATGGTTATTTTTGGCAGCAGACAATGCAACCACATTGATGGGTGACCACATGCAATCTTCATGACACAAATATGCCATTGCATATGAAGTTACTTCCTCCGCTTTATAGTTGATTTAGTATTACAATATTTATGATATAACACATGGGCTATTAAGCAATTAGAATTTTACCTGTTCTTATTAATTCACTTAATTAGCTCCTTAAAACAAAGCACATGCTTACTTTTGTAAAATGTGTGTCTAAATGCATGTATATTAGAGAAAATGCTCAAAATATCAACAAGTTTTCAATTTTATTACTGTTTGCCAAACCTGATGAAGGAGCATGATCTAACACATCCATAGAAGATGCATGCTCTTGGCTGTCAGGAATTGTCGAAGGAGCACTGAATTTGGTGTTGTTGCTCCCTTCTTTGTTGCTCTCAGTAATAGAATTGTCTTTCACTGTCACAAAGAGAATCATATACCTAATATAACATGGACTTGCGCAATTAAGTGAGTACAAAAAGGAGTTTTACAGACATTAGATCATCATACCCCCCAAATTGGCAGCTACAAGATCAGAAGGTTTGATGATCCTCTCTGCCAATCCAACAATCTCAGATCCAGTAACTGCATCAGCAGCAGCAACGGTTTTCTGGAACATAAATGACTTCTATGTAAATATAGGAATACAAAATGGCCATATAAAGACATTATGTGAAAAACCTCAGCATCAGCTCCCAGATTGGAAGTAAGAAAACTAACTCTGGCTTCTACATCATCTGAGCGTTCTTTTACAAATGGGTGCTCCAACAATGCTGGCCAAGTTAATCTATTTTGAGGTACCTGCGAGCAGTAAAATCCACAAAAGTGTGAGTTGATGCAAATATGATAAACAATTGATAGCTTCATTAGGCAAAAAAGCAAAGTGGGACCTTGTTAAGTAAACCCTTCAAGAAGCTTTTAAAATTTGCACTCATATTTTCAGGATATTTCACTGGATCCTTTCATAAGCCAGAAAATTAGAAAATTAGATCATATGTATAACATAAGATTCTAAAATGGCAAAATGGAATAAAAGAAGCAAACTCACTTTAACTATATGACGAATTAATGCATACACTGAATTTGTGTAAAATGGAGGCTGGCCAACAAAGAGTTCATACCTAAGTAATTTTTTCACAACAAGAAATTTAGATCATTGGAAGTCAATAAATATTTGATGACACATACTGATAATGACTAAAACAAACTAAGAATGAAAGAGATTTGAATCTATCATTAAAATGTAGTAGACATCAGCAACAAGACATCAGTGCATGACTTCATATTGTACAAAATAAGGGATTTCATAGTGGCACCACATACATCATAAGAGTGATAATTAATTAATGTAAGTCTTAAACAAGAAAATGAATATTGTTAACAGTTAACACCATTGGGTCATGTTGAGATCACATTAAATGCACAATAAACATTAGTCATAAGAGTGATCATTCATCAATATAAGCCTAAAACAAGAAATAGAATGTTGTCAAATCAAATAGATGACTAAGGCATCAAAGAAATTGAAACATAAACACAAATATCAAGGTGACCTCAGAGTTTTGATAACCTTGAAAAGTATCCTAGCAATGTTAATGAGGTATTGGCATAAACTGTGTCATGATTAAGATGTGCTAACACCTCTTTCTGCATATCTCTGACCAGTACGGGCTAAAACAAACGCTGTGCCATACCATATTGGCCAACAATATCATGCCAGCATATTGCTGGTATGACTAGTAACAGTTAATTCATTTATTTATACCACCATAAAGAAAAACAAATAGCTAAAATTTGCAAAACTTTAGATCCTCAAGATTCATTGGTTTATGAATGGCTGCAACCAAACGAGAAAAGTCTCTTTCTAAATGTACAATTCAAGGCTAACAAAAAAATACAGCAAATATTACTCCAGAGCTTTAATGGAAATAAGACATACAAAATTACTCCAAGCGACCACAAATCTGCTGTGTGATTGTAAGGTTGTTCCCTCACCAATTCTGGAGCCATATAAAGAGGTGTCCCTACAAATATACAAGCATTATTTTAATCAAACAAACAAGTTCAATAGATTATCTAGAAATTCAGGGTAGGCTTATACTTGAGATATTCGCAACTAGATCATAATAGAATATTAGCTAAGTGATGTAAAAAATGTTAAGCCAACCAACATAAATAGCTAAATGCCTTCTCAAAAATTAGAGATGGCGAAATCATTTTACTCGAAAATCTTGTTGGATCCAACAAGCTAGATAAGATACCCATGTGTTTTGCATGCTAACTTTTTGGAAAAGCATATACAACATGTGCTGTATAAAAGATAATATTGTTAGCAAATAATACATGTATATCAAGCCAGCAATGAGGAATGTGCCATTGATGCCAATTTTTAATCCAAAAAGACAGAGTTAGCAAAAAAAATCCTTTTTGAATTGATTAACATGACACACCAACCAAATGTTGAACCTAACAAAGATATAACTCAAGGCTTACCTTTTATAGAACGAAGGACTACAGTGTTTGCAGACATTGCTCGTGCAAATCCAAAATCACAAAGCTGTCAATAGAATGCTTTAGCAAATAATAATGGGTTGAACAACCAACTCAAGCTGAATAAACAAAAATAAAATCTACAGGATTGTTTATCTCAATATGGTAGTAAAAGATGACAGACAATTTTTCTTATTTCAAAATTTTTTTAGAGCATGAATAAATATAAATTAATGACGTTCAATAATACACATGCTTTGAATTTTAAAACTTCTCAAAAGGGATGCTAGATTAGATTTTAATATCAAGAAAACTTCTTCGAGGTGAAATCAATACTCATACTAGCAATCTCTATTTTGTTCAACTTAAAACATGAAGTAGCCTAAAAACCAACAGTTAACCAAACAGTTTCTGAGCAAATAAACTAAAATTTAAAAGAAAATCCAGATCAGTCAGTGCTGAACTGATTGCCAATAAAAATAACAAACTAATTACAAAAGGATAGCTAATACAAAAGGGGGCATCCATGCACAAGGCTCCTGTCAATACGGACAACAAGCATTATACATAACCAATTAAAATACTAAAGATCAGACCCAATATAGACGCAAATTAAACATGACAAGCTGTAATTGACATGAAAAAAGGAGGAAATTTGCAAATAAACAAATCAACAATGTAGAGAAGTATAAGCAAGAAAAACAACTTTTATGACAAATGGTTTAAGACACTTGATCACAGAATTCTCTATAGATTAGCTTAATAACTCATAAACAATTTTATATTCTCAAGTTCAAATTTTCAATGCTATGGCGGAAGATCTGCAGTAAAGAGACACAAAAGGTGAAACCCAGACCACAACATGACAGAGAAAGTCAAAGTAATGTGGAAGAGGGAAGAAATGATGGAGAAAGCCATAGAATTGACACAAAATGCTCAAAAACAGAATCATGCAATTCAAATTTATATGGACAATCAATAGATAATTATGAGAGAAAATTCAAATTTCAATAATAAACGTGACAAACACAATTTTAGATTGAACTAGAACTAACCTTAACAACAGATCCTGCGCCAATAAGAATATTTTGGGGTTTCATATCCCGATGGATGATGCGGTTTGAATGCAAGTAATACAATGCTTTTACCTAAAATTCACAATAAGACTATTAGATGAGTGAATCTACTACTCATTAAAGGCTAAAAATATTTGTAGTAAACCAGACAGTAAGAAGAAAACAATGGAATATATTAATCTAATCATAACAGCATATTTTAGATAGAAGTACCAGTTGTTTAGCTATTGCCTGAACTTGTTCTTCTGGGAGACATTTGTCATCTTCAAGAACCTCAAACAATTCTCCCTTGGAAAAAAGAGGTTAGAAAGATAGTTAAAAGAAGCAAGAGTTGGTTTCAACAGGTTCTACTGATAACCCATACCTGTGCAAACTCTGTAACAACACAAAATTCTTGAGGAGTCTCAAAGGCATCGAGCATTTCAATAATATTTTCATGCTTCAACTTCCGGAGTATCTGCTCAATTTGAAATTATATCAACAACTGTTCATCAAAACCAGTACAGTGGCAAAATAATTGGTGCTAATTGATAAATAAAATATAAAAAATTTGGGAAGCTGTAGAGTACTAGTTATTTGAATTTTTCATTTAATACTATTGTTCATAATGTCGATCCAACCTTGAAAAAGTGAGCATTGTGCAATCACAAACTAGGAATCGTCATCTGTGTTCAGCTAATTTACTTTTGGTGTGTAACACAATGTTTAAGGAATTAAAACGTAGAAGACTTTTCATATGCAATTTCATGGCAACTTATAACCTCTTAGGAAATCAGTTTCGGCCATCATCTGATAGACATATCAAAGTCATTTCCAATGTTATCCAACTGCATCCGTTGCATTACTAAGCAGCATTGCAGACCTTAATCTTTAGATGTGTTTGGCAATGGTTTAAATTTTAAAATTAACATGGCATCAAGGTCAATACCATGACATAACTTATGACTCTCTAGTAAGTGAAAAGTAAAAGAATAAGAAAGAGAATAAACAGGTGACACAAGTTGTAGAGGATAATAGGGACTACAAATAAAGTGCAATAGCTGCGATCCAACAAATATCTCAGAAAAATTAATGCTTATCGATGCAGTTTATTAGTACCTCGATTTCCTGTCTCAAATTGTGAATGTCCTTCTCGCTTTTCCCATGCTTGAGAATAAATTTCAATGCAACGGTCTGAACCATGGCAACGAACAATTAGTTGCAAACATCATCATCTTTCACCGAATGGAACTAGCAGGAACCAAATCGAACCTGTCTAGTGTATTTGCGTCTTCCTTTGTACACCTTCCCGAAAGATCCTTCCCCGACCAGCTCTATCACGTGGTAATCGTCCACCGCCATATCTATCAAAACTCCGCCCCTGCAACACAAGATGGCCTCGGTTTTCTTAGACAGCAAGCGTCGAATGCCCGTGAAAATTAGAGAAATTCTGCTCGAGATTTGATGCTACTCACCGATGAATTGACAACTGATCATGAAAGAGAACGCACTCTGAGCTAAAGATCGAAAAACAACATGGATTAGGGTTTCAAATCCGAAGCGACAAGAAACCCCCAAACCATCAGATATATTTCCTCCCATGGATTGGATCAATCCATTCAGCAAAAAGGAAAAGCAATTCAAACAATTAGTTAATATTGCGATAGATTTACCTTCTTTCGCTGCTTCGATCGCCTCCCCTCTCTCTCTCTCTCTCTCTCTCTCTCTCTATCTCTCAGACACACGAAGAGTGAGGTGGGGTTTTCTAGATGGGGATTTGGATCTTTTCGTTTTCCCGCCTATGGTTTCGACTTCGATTCGGTGAGGCGAGAGAAGACATTATTGGAGCGACGGACCGCAATCACGTGCTGTTCGACCGGTTGGTGCCGCCGATTTTGATGAGACCTCAAAGCCCCGGTCCGGTCGGCCCACGACCATGACCGACCGAATTGGGCCGATAATCTTGAGAAATCGATCGGGCTCGACCGATTCGATAAAAGAAATTGTCTAATTCCGGCTCGTAATATTGTCGTCCCAAAGGTTAGGAATAAGAGATAAGAGCGCGATCGTGTGAACCCCTCAAGTCTAATGCATACGTCAATTTTCATCCATCACAAGATCAATTTTTTTGCCTCAAATTCTTCGACAACAAAGCTAATCAGCACATTTACATGATCAAATTAGTGTTCAGAACCCCATCGGAAAATGGATTCAAGACGAAGAGTTAAGCTGAAGCTCAAGCAGAGGTCGAAGTCTTATGAGTGGTCTGGTGATCTCCTTCTTGTGCGGTGTCCGGTGCTTATGGTGCGCTCGTCGGAGGAAACGGGTGCGGGTGATGCACATGAGCGGTGCCTCGCAGCATGTTGTCCTCTTGCTGGTGTAGTCTCTGCGCCTGCAGCGCCGTCAGATACAGACCAACTCCGAGGAGGACAGTGCTCAGCCCGAAGATTCCCGCTGCTGCAAATAGCCCCGGCCTGATCACATGGCAGTCCGGCTTTGGCTGCCTCCACTGGCTTACATGGCCGGACTCCACGCCGATGCCGATGAGCAGCAGCGCCTCAGCAATGCTGAAGCAGATCCTGCGCTCGCACGAGTTGTAAGGAGCGAACGAAGCAGATCTACAGCTAGAGAACAAACGAATGGGTTCTCACCAGGTCGCGAGGAAGAGGGCGCAGGTTTGCCATCGACCGGTGGACGACAGCGTGCGTGGATCGTCTGGGAGCGGCCAAGCGGCCGGTGCCGGGCGGCTGGGACACGTGACTGCCACCATCATGTAGGCGTGCTCGGCGAACATCGCCACCGCGAACAGGAGGAACGCGCACACGGCGCAAGCCAGCGGCGTGCGCCCGCTGCCGGTGTAGACGCACTCGTAGCTCCTGCTGCCGTCGCTCAACCGATACCATGTGGCCTGTGGACAAAACGCCACCATGAATCAAGAACTGTTCGAGGAATCCGACTGGCATGGAGGTTACCTCGGAGCGGGAGGCCTCGGCGGCGAGGCAAAGGACGAAGCCGGAGAGACCGCAGAGCACGGAGAGGAGGACGAGGAAGAGGGCGATCCGGTTGCCGATGTCAGTGCGCCAGGGGGTCCTCAGGGACGACAGGTCTGCGTGCGTGATGGCCATGGCGGGGGAGTTCGAAGGACTGGCTTGGAAGGGGACCAGAACGAGGGGATATAGACGTGAGAAAGCTCCGGCTGGGAGACGAAGGGAGGAATCCATGCATGGCTTTGCTTCCTGCTTAAGGCGGCTGCGTTGCGTGGTACAGAGAGATTCCCGAGCTTTAATGCACAGTCTCTCTCTGTGTCGCGTATGTACATATCAATGAAACCGCATATCGATCTTCTTTCCATGTCGGGATCACAAAAACTAGGCTTTCTGCATGACGAAAAAGACAGGTTGAAAGGGAAGCTAGTGATTTAGCAGATGGAGAACAAAGTGGAAGGAGAGGATTAAAGCAAAGGATGCAGGAAATGATTTAGCAGGAAAAGTTCCTCAATTTTCGGAAATTACTTAAAGGGCTCCTACTTTCATTTTTATTGGAGAATATTTTTCCTTTCTCTCCTTTAATTTCAAACACATTTTTGAAGGGTCAGAGAAGAATGTGTGTCATTTTTATACCAGACTTGAAGCAGAGGTGATGCAGATGTCAATTAGCTGAAAAAAGCCCCCTAAATATTGAGAAATTACTTCAATATTCATCTTCATATCAGGTTTTTTTTTATTTTTTTAATAAAAAGATATTTATATATCTCTAATGATTAGCACATGAGACAATTAATTACATATTACTTTTTATAATTAAATATTTATTATCTCGATCTTTTTATTTTTAAAAATTATATTGGGATTGTTATACTTATGAAAGTAAAACATTTAATTTTATTTCTCCTCGTGTCAAATACTATAGAATTTACCACTGAACACGTACTGACTCTATTATATTTCGATTTACTATTAAGTACATATAATATTTTCGACAATAGAATCGATGACATGAGAAAAATAAGATTAAATATTTTACTTTCGAAAATATATATTCTAATATAATTTTTGAGAGTATAAAAATCGAAATGGTAAAGATAACTAATTATATGAGTTAATCTATAATTAGCTTGCACAAAAATGAATCAAAATATATTCTCTTTATCCAACGATTTTTTTCTGTTATTTTCTCTCATATTTGTTCTCCCTCTTCCTTTTTTTTTTTTTTTTCCTTTCCTGGTTTATAAGCATGTTATGCTTGGTAAGATGTCTTTCCTGTTGTTCTTTGAGGAATATGCAGTATCAACTTATCCCATCGAATCACAAAGCAGAGAACAGAACCAAGCCATATTAGCTGCAAACAAAGAAATACTGATGACATTTGAACACCTGTATTCGATTCACATAAGCACAAAAATGAAAACCAGGTTCGATCTGTAAAGAAAAAGAAAAACAAACAATAATGACGAGAAACATATGACTAAGGGACAGGAAGTGGTGCAATGCACAGCTAACTCTTCTCAGCCCTCGGTGATAATAGTACATTGAAGAATTGAAGGACAACAATGAAAACAAAAGTTGATCTTTCACTTCTTTTGACTCAAAAATGCAAGTCTTATGATCCATCTTTGCATATTGTGAGCGACCCTTTAGATGGATCTGCTGTCAGCGGTGGTGGTTGGATTGTTGTCAGCTTGGTCACCAAAGATACGCTTGCGGAAATCAGTGACCATGAGAGGGAGGCCATCACTGAGGGAGACCTTTGGTTCCCAGCCAAGTAGCTCTTTGGCTCGTGTGATGTCAGGTTTGCGCTTGTGGGGATCGTCTGCTGTGTTTGGTCGGAATTCTATCTTGGCATTGGGGTCAATTGTATCCTGCACTACCTTTGCAAGCTCCAGCATGGTGAATTCTCCAGGGTTCCCCAGGTTGAATGGACCGACATTCTCACCCTCCATCAACTTAATCAGCCCCTCCACCTGTGTTTTTTGTTTTCTTGGTTAATTTTCAAGTCACCAAAATAAGCATGAGATTGTCAAAGATTTGTTCCCTACTATTGTCAATTCCTCTTCCAAACATTCTCATCGACAATTAGGATTCACTTCTAACAGTCTAACTTTGGATTTTTTTTTTTCCTGAAAAATGATTGTGGGGTTCAAACATGGACGATGATGTTGTTTAACTGACCCCACAGAGTAACTTAATATTGGCTCACTCTCTAGATCTAGTAATTTGGTCTCTATACATGAATGTAGTAACTGAATGTCCAAATGCTCTCTGGATCCACCCCTACCAGCTACATGAACTTTGGTACTTAGGGATCCTTTTCGGTCGAACATGCATCATTATCAGCAAGATCGGAATCTCCTATGTTCTAGTATTGCTAGATTCATCAATAGGTACAAACAATAAACAAATGGTACTAAATGAATAACTAGAAGAAGTGATATAGAAAGAGGAACCTACCAGATCAGAGACATACTGAAAGCTCCTGGTTTGCTTTCCATCCCCATAAACTGTCAATGGCTCCTTCCTCAAGGCCTAAATCATTTTATCAAAGTTTGAATGACATCATCTCATATGCCAAACCAAGGCATCTCATTCATAATCAGAACTACTTGCTAACAATTTATAAGTAGATAATAGGAGCCGCATCATACCTGGGCAACAAAATTGCTCACAACGCGACCATCATCAATGCACATCCGAGGTCCATAAGTGTTGAAGATACGAGCAATTCTCACCTGTAATCCATGAATATCCCAAAAGAATGATTTTTTTTTTAAATTGATTCCACAACAAAGTTATCGCAACACAGTTTAGTTATCGATCGATGACCTCAAGTTGGGCACCACGATGGTAATCCATGGTCAAAGTCTCTGCAGTTCGCTTGCCTTCGTCGTAGCAGCTCCTAACACCTGTGATTGGCAAACACACAAATGAAACATAAGCAATATATGATACCATGTTTTGTTCCACCATCCAGGTGAAGTCAGCCACTGGAAACGATCCACACCAAATGTTTTGTTCCAACCCAACCTAGAACAATTCTTCCTTTTAAAAAGCAATCAAATTATGGAGTTGCTACCATAGGAGGCATCATTTCCAGACGAAGACTTCTCAGAGGCAAACAAGAGATGGATCACAAAAGAGATTGATGGAAAGGGCCATACCGATGGGATTAACATTGCCCCAGTAGGTCTCTACTTGTGGGTGTTGCAAGGGATCACCATAAACCTCACTGGTGCTTGTGAGGAGAAATCTGGCTCCTACTCTCTTGGCCAGGCCCAGCATGTTGAGAGTTCCCACAACATTGGTCTTGTGAACTCACGGAACAAAGACTGAATGAATTAAGGCATTCAACAAGCAAAATCTTGCGCCTTCTTCTACCCCTTTATTCTATTTGCTTCATAATCTCTAACCACTGATCAAACAGAGTTCTAATGGATGTGAAAAATGTATAGACCAAGCTAATTAGCCCAACAAGAATCAATCTTGTTTGCTTCAAGGAATCAAATGCCCACCACAGCAGCAACAAATGGAGCTGAAGGAAACAAACTTTAGTCAATGACAAATCAAAAATTACAAAATATATGGTTTTAGCAGAGGGAAAAAAAATCACCTTTCAATGAAGATATAAGACCAGACCAAGAAAAGGACCAAAAGAATAGGAACCTTGACGATAATATGCAAATGGAAGGAATCGAAACTCGAATGACGTTAGAAGACAGAAAGAAATTGCAGCCTCGTGAGAATCCATGAAAGAAAACCGAGAACCAATTCAAAAGAAGCAATCCTCAATCTATAATAGCTAATATATAAAGCGATCTAGCTGGGGAAGAGGTCAGCAAAAGGATATGATCGTCTTCACAGGATTGAACTTGTAGTGGACTGGCGACGCCGGACACGCAAGGTGGTAGATCTGATCCACCTCCAAGAGTAGCGGCTCCACCACGTCATGGCGGATGAGCTCGAAGTTGGGGTTCCCGAGGTGGTGCATCACGTTCTCCTTCTGCCCCGTGAAGAAGTTGTCCACCACGATGACGCTGTCCCCTCTCTCGATCAAGCGGTCCACCAGATGGCTCCCCACGAACCCGGCGCCCCCGGTGACCACGATGCGGAGCCCCTTCCGCTTCAGTCCCAGCGGCACCCTTCCCCCGACGAACCTTCTCTCGAGCGCCATCCGGTACCCGCCATGCACCGCTGGCATCGACGACAACCGGGCGAGGTCCACCGCGAGGTGGGCACCGGCGGTGGAAGGGCCGGTGTAGGGAGGAGCGAAGACGAAGAACACGGAGGCCAGAGCCACGCCGACAAGCACGAAGAGGAGGCGCTGCTCGCTGAGGAGGTATCGGAGCGGGCGGGGCAGGCAAAGGAACCTCTTTTCGGGCTTGGGGGAGTTCGCCCCGGCGTCGTCCGCCGGCAGGGCTTCGCGGCCGCGGTAGGTGAGCTCGGAGCCCATCGAAGTCCCGAGAGAGAGACAGAACAGAGACTTCCTGGCGCTGCACGCCAGATGGCGACGGGGGCTCGCGGTCTTCGAGCAGGAGGGGAAGCCAAAAAGAGGAGCATTTTGTAAAGACGGAGCAGGAGGGGGTGTAAAAGTAATTTCATCACAACGATATGAGTTAACCATCCCAAATGACGTAATTATCCTCGGAGAATCTTCGCCGAGTGGATCATCGGGTAATTATTTTGAACTAACAAGGATTTATATGGTATCTTCACATACTTCCCTCCTTTATTATCCCATTATTACGAAAATACCCACATCTTTGTGGTCCTATATGCCCACATTTTCCTACAATTACGAAAATACCCACATCTTGTGTTACTTATTGGAGGAAGACAGGTAACAATTTTTGATGCTGTAGAGCCTCTGGGTAGGGGTGTTCTCTTACATAGACAGCTAGGCGGCTAATATAAAGGCATTATTCTTCTGTAGAGTGGTCAACATTAGCATGTTGGGCATGGAGTGGTTTCATCAAATATATATAGGAGACAATATTTGAATTGCTCAGCTTGGTTGGTGGATGGATGATGAGAATTGTGGCAAATGAGAAGGATGACAAGCACCAAATAGTCTCTTTATTTATGAGAATAAAACTATGTACATTGACCATTTAGAATCTTGTTCACTGGATAATCTCTTCTTATTTTTGCTTAATTTATTTATTCATGATATAAATTAAATGTATTCATCATCAACAAATATAATAAACATAATTAATTTAATTTAATTCAAACATTCATCACTGAATAGTAAGCTCAAACTACATTGTAGTTATCATGACTTTCTTCCTCTGTAAGAGAACCAAATCTATTATACCAATAACCTTTTCTTTATTTTGCAAGACTAAAGACCTAATGCTTCATAAAAACACATCCTCAATTATATAGAACAAAGACTTTCAATAACACAAACAGATTCTACTTCTCGCTAGTAATTCTCATGGAAGAGAATTAGCTTAGTGCTGCTGATTTAAAAGTATGGTGCACATATCCACTGCATAGGGGGCTGCTCCCGTCGGTGTCGCAGCGCCGCTGCGGCGGCCACGGCTCCAACGAGTTACATGCAGGCCATCAAATTACGACACTACACTAAATCTAACAAGGGGTGCAGAGAGAAACTTCCGTGGTTGCTCAAGCAATTACATGATAGCTGGTCTACATGTTTACTATGCTACGGTGGGTTTTGGAGGTAATATGATAAGCAAGCAATTCTTACGTGGCAAAGGCAGAAGATTTGCATTCATGATCACAAGTTTAGGAACACAATTAAATACTTAAGGTTTCATAAACTAAAATCAGGCGACCACATCCGTCAAACTATAGTGATGCAGCAAAAGATTCACAAAGTCCGCAACGACATCCATCTGAGTTCACTCTTGAGATTAAACTATGGAACAAAACAATAAGCCCTTAAAAACCTGGCATTTGCTTTAACAGTAGATGGCAGTCTCCAGAGCTGACTTGTATCACCCACGGCCGCGCCCTCCACCTGAGTTAGTGAGCAGATTTAGAGGTAGATTTGGTTTGACATCCAGTTAACCACTAACTACATGAACAACACTGGTGAATGCTTTACCTCTAGCACCGGCACCTTTACCACCAGCTCCACCCCGGCCGCGACCACCACCACCTCTGCCGCTTCCATCATCTTGACCACGTCCAATGCCCTTGGCAGGCCTCCCGCTGTTGTCTTCTCTACCTCTTCCCCTTCCTCGGCCAACACCGGGTGGCTTCCTGTCTGCAGTAAGAACATCCAAGAAATGTAAGCAGTCTAAAATGATTCAAACATGATGATACACGAGTAACTTAAGATGACATGCATCTGTAAGGAAACATTCCAGTGATTAAGAGACAACGTAAGGTGGTTAAGTCTTCCCGTAAACACCTAGTACGGTGTTATGTAATGCAAAAAAAATGAAGACGACATGCCTTCACAATGTAGATAAAACTAAAATGACTGCTAACGATTCAGTACAAGTTGAAGCTAAGAATTCAGCCAACCAGAGTGGTAAATTGAACTTTCAGGATGCAGTTAGACAAATAATAAAGGCTAAACAAGAAACTAGAATTGAGGACCCCAAAGAGCAGCATTATCAATTTCTTTGTTAAATGTGTTTCAATCTTTGGCGTATGATTGGTAGGGTGAACATATGTATCATAGTTATGGAAGTAAATATTCTCATATCATGAATTAACATAGGCAAACCAGTTTCTCGTGGTAGCTTAAGTTTGCTAATAATATTATATGCACCAAGGATCCACACAAATTACCTGTACGACTCTTGGTGGTTTCCTCTTGAACCTTGTCAATCACCTAAAACAGCAGAAGGTTTACAATCAGTCAAATAAGCAATGGAGAGGGAATTACAGAAATCATGAAATGATTTTCTTGAGGCAAGCCAAAAGCATTCTAACAATCGAAAATGTCACAAAGTGCCTATTGCAGATACTTGCATCGGCAAATACATATAACTGTCAAGGAACCTCATCCAGAAAAGCAACAAAAGGGAAACCATAGTCCTTCTCATAATCATACTTATATTGCATTTTTTTTTTAAGTAGACCTTCTTTAGGTAAAATAGATAGCTCTGATTCAACCTAAGGAATCTTACAAATCTCTGGAAGTAAAATATATACCCTTCTGGAAGTCAAATGGAACTTCCAGAAAGAAACATACAAAGAAGGATCAGAGATAACTCTAAGCACATTTTAATTACAACAAGATTCTTCTACTGCATCAGTTTCAAATATTGTCTTCTGGATGTCCAAGTCGTTTGGACCACTAACTGATCTGAGTGATGTAATGGCAGACTGATATAATGTTTCCTCTCCCAAAGCGACTTTTGATAGTTACTTTAGTTTGCTTTGATATTTAATAGCGAGTACGATATAGAACTTGATAAAAAAAGATCCTAGGTGTTGATTTATCATTTCTAAGCAAACTAGTCCGAACTAATGGAATTATCACAGGAGTGATGCTCCATAAAATCAATCTTCAATATTATTCAGAAAATATGTTGGCAAAAATATGTCCATTTGGTTTTCATGGTTGAATATTTTTCTTCAAACGATGAATTGAAATTTTAAATTGGCATTATTTGCACCTCATTTTTTTTCCAAATTTGGATTCTATACCTAGTCCGGGTCATACATCTCTAGACTTCCCAAGAACAATGAGATCATCCAACATTTCCTCAGTATGTCAGATTGCCCCAAAGAAGAATACGTAGTTCCTTTCAGAACCTCTACAATATCAATGTCTCATCTTACGATCATGCATAGTCTAACCGAGAATCAATTTACTTGGAATTGCTGCCATGCAACCTTATTTCTCAAGGTATGCAAAATATGTGGGCTCCAAGCCTTAAAAGATCAGAGGTAGTTAAACAATAACTTTAAATATATTACCAATTTGATTTGTTTTCTCAGAATCTCATCTAATAAAGGATACAAATGATTTGGGTGTTGATTTGGAGGAAGTGACAGCACATAAATACTGAGCAGACCTCAAACTTTGCATACAAATGATTTGACTGATAAAAAGACTTAAAAGACCAGAAGAGATCTATCAAGCAGCTCAATAGACAGAACATAAGTTAAACAAAAGGAAATCTCTGTCAGAAGCTCAGTATTGAATCAAAAAATATAAATTCTCAAAAGCCTTAGTCAGATTTATAGAATTGCCATAGAGGTCTCCCTTAAAAGCACCAGAAGGGCAGTCACTGAAGTGCTTCAGACATGCTGAAACCAAGCACATAGTCTCAACATGACCCAAGAGAACCGATATTACAGAAGTTTCACTGTCCATAAGCATGGTGATTTTCCTCATGGGGGTGATCGGTCTAGCTAGAAAAGAGGCTGAATTAATAGAACAAAGTATATAACTTTTGTATATAAAATGAACATATAATGTCTAGATTTAATATTTTATTAACCTAGTGGCCCGATGTGATTTGACCATTGACACTGCGATCAGAGGAACTGTTGGGTTGATGTCTACTCGAATATTATATCTGTGCCTCCGCCTCATCCTCATCATCATTCTCTTTCTCTACCCATGCTAGTTTACAGCTTTGCAGTTGCCATCGAGGCCATGATCGAGGTGTAGAACCCTATAATTTGCTGAAATCTGGCTTTAGTTTCCATCACTAGGATTATATAAAATAATTTATAATCCTATATTAGACATATAAGTATACAATCAAAAACATTTTGTAAGCTGTATATATCCAAATGGCTTTGATGTGTAAATTTTTGCATATTCCAGTTGTGGAAAAAATTATAAAGAGAAACTAGCACAGATAACATGAACTCCTCTACAAATTTCTAGACAATATCCACCAAGTTGCTAACATAAGCTAGATTAAGAACAGGTTATTCAATCAGCATCGACTTCTATGTCGACTTAGTGTTCAATTTTAATGCTTCCATGTGGACTTCATCTATAATATTTATAACATGCCCAGATTAAAGGATAGGAGACAGCTAAGCGTTGTATTGACCTAAAGAAAGATCGAACCAACGCTCATGATGCATACCTCATCAGGAACTCGAAGATACTTAATGGTATTCCCACGAATATAACATTCTGGCATCCTCCAAAATCGATCACCATCCTACAACCAGAACGACATCCTATAAGAAGCATAAATATGAGCAAGTCCATCATATATACCACAATCGAACGAACAAAATAGACAGACAAAAAGGGGAAAACTTTTACCTTTGAGGTACAAATGACCTCACGGAGGTGGATATTCATCCAGGTATCGCAGTTCACCAAGTGCCCATTGTAAGTCTCCCCATTCTTCAACTCCACCAGCTGTCCCATCGCGGTACGATCATCAGAACACCACATTAAACAAGAACAGAACGACCAGTTACTAGAGAAGATAAAGACACCGTGTCCTCTTACCATGGGATGCCCTTGTGCTGTCTTCAGAAGCGATAGCGGAAGCTGCAAAGTAGCATCAATAGGTCAAAATGGAAGACCCGGCAAAGAAAAAACTCGCCAAAAGAAAACGGATACACGAGAAATTTACCATCTTTCCGAGATACGAAGGTTAAATCAGCGACAGATGGTAAGAAAAAGAGATTGAAACGATCAGACGCGCAATCGATCCGGCGATCGCCGAAGGGTGACCGAGGTAATCAAGGTCCGGGGCCAAGAACCCTAGATTGAGGGCGAGACCCTAACTTGGATCGGGGATGTGGTGCCCTATGCGCGCATCGAGGGCCGCACAGTGGTGTCTATCAAAGAGAATCCGGATCCGGACTCAGATCCGAGTCCGACAAGGAGCGGATGAATCCTACAAAGACCTGATTAGTACTTAAGATCGACATAAAAGTAATTTGGTACATAAAAATAGTTGAATAATATTTGTTATATAATTGATCATTTTTAAGTCAAATCTAACTTTGAAATAAATGGAGCTCGAGAGTATAAATACAATATTCATATAATAGAAATTAGTTGATCCGATCTATAAAAAGACTCTTGATTTTTAATTAACTTAAAATAAATTATAAAATGGTTATATCTTTCCAAATTCATGATAAGTAGTTATAAAAAAATAAAATAAAATTCTTTGCAACATCAAATTTACATATTTGTTTCTCATAGTATATATATATATATATATATATATATATATATATATATATATATATATATATATATATATATATATATATATATATATAGAAAAAAAGACACTTGCCAGAAAGTGTTGCTTATCAACTAATTGGTCCATTGTAAGATAAAATTTTATTTTGATTATAAAATTAAATAATAATAATAAAATCATAAAGCTCAGAGTATCTCAGTCTGACCAATTAACCAACATCTTAAATATCAGAATGAGAATTTATAAGATAACTAGGTGGATTAATTGAATTTGTCAGCTAGGGCAGATTAATCTCTGCATAAAGCCTATTGCATAACAAAAATCAAATCAATATAAATCAATGTCTGTCATCATTTCATTCCATACATGTCTGAGCACCCACACAACCTTTCTTTTTTAACATAGGAGTAACACAGCAACACGACCTTAATAGGGTTATAGGTAAAACAATCGGCCGACCATGCAGGAGCAAGTATCAAAATAGATTGTTTGAATATAATAGAACCAGAAGAATAGATCTTATCAAGAGAATGTCTTTTTAAAAGCCATTTGAGGGAGAAGCTTCCTCCATGGAAATTTTAGCATATGAAAATTCTGTCGCCAGAAATGACATTAACATCGTTCAAGTAATTGACATCGGCCACATGGTCCCCAAAATCATCTGATCAGAACAAAGGAACCCAGATTAATCACCCAAAGTATAACCTGAGTTATGAAAATGAACAAAGCTTTGCAATGACAATAGAAACTAGAACTAGGAGAAAAGATGAAAGGAGGAAACTAACCTTCGTATATCGTCCTCACAATATCCACATATTCTGGTACTAGTTCCTTGTATATAATACCTTCAGGATGAGCATCCAGGACCACCAACACACCTAAACCCATATACAACTAGTTCAGTGTGGAGGAACTTCAATTTAGTCAATTATTTCCCTTCAACATCGCATTATTCTTATGAAGTTTCAGAGGGACAAAAATTATTCTACTGACATAGACTCTTCCTCAAGTGGACACACTCGTGGCACTGCACAAGATTTCTTGATTTTCTTTCTTTGGCGTTATATCGAGTTAGTCATGCCTCCTGTATACTATTGAAGTACATAGTCACACTTTAGTTTGGCTCTTCCAGGTCATCTCAAGTTCCGCCAATGGATACTAATTATATATCTATTGTATTCTCATAGAATTGCATGGTCAACTATAGAGCCAAAGTTTGATTTGCCCCACAGAGTCTAAAGGACTAATGAACTATGAAAATTGCTTTAGCGTATGAGGAGTTGGACCAGTAATAAAGGAAATTATGTCGAGATATTAACTAAGTCCAACCTAGTGTACATCCTCCCCACTGACAAAGATAACATGCCAATAATTTCAGAACTAAGAGGCAAAGGAAAATATAATCCGCTTGATCTTAGAAGACATTCAATTACAGAGGAACTTTTAGTGCAATTTAAACCAAGAAGTAACTGGAAGTTGGATTGAAGATATACCAGGTGCCAGCCAAGCTTCTGTGACGTCATTAGGCAGTGGTGCAAGCCATAGTATATTCCTTAGATTCATCGCATCATCATAAACCACATTTGATCCTGAAAGAGACACACAACACTTGGTAGGGTCAGAGGGTATGACCGACTTCAGAAGATCAAATAAAATAAGCAGATCGACAGTTGTAAATGTGGAAGAATTTCACCAACAGTCAGGTGATGATGAAAATAAAATGACGGGAGCTGCAATAGATGCACTAAGAGTAACTCCAAAAATTACCTCTCTGGCAATAACCCATATTATAAGGAAATGATTCTTTTTCACAGGCTGGATACTCTTTTGCATGGAACCTGCAAAGCATGATAATAAAACACAATGACCAGAAATATCCTGCTAAAAGACACTTTAATGTAACATGGAATGAATTAACATCTATAATGATGTAGTTGGTATTTTAGAAACCGCTCTCTCTCCAACATATGGACAATATAGCTAGATAAGAAGCCACAAATGACAAATAGAATCATAAATGAAGATAACAACAATGAGTATTCAAGTATTCAAAGGCATAAGAATTAACTCTGGAACACGAGCATACTTCCTACTCCCCTGCCTGTATCAAGGTTCTAAACCCTTTACCAAGGCTACATGGGTAATTAAATTGTTGTGAGAAACTTGCATGAAGAGATTCACTTGGAAAAGAATAATGATATATATAGACAAATAAACAGTCATAAAGCCGAAAATTTTCAAATTTAAATGCATATTAGAAGTTGAGACTTAACGAAGCAATTTGCAGTTTGCTTCTCTGCAATAATATATCAAAAACTAACATGCCACACTGCCTTTTCAAAAATCTAAAGATAAAGCACATCAAATTATACAATGTGTACTTTAATAGATAAATTTTCAATTTTTCTATACCACCGGTGTTCGCAGCCCCAGATGCATTATCAAGGCGGAGTAGTAGTTACATATTTATTTAACGATTTGCAGCAGCAGCTTTCCCTACAAAGTTTGTGAAGAAAAGAGAAATTGATTGGAGAAACAAACTCACTTGTTAAAGCTCCCCTAAAACCTGATCATACTGCCTTAGACAGATGTGTTGAATATAGTAAATAAATCCAATTGTAACATTTTTAATACCGAGACAACTCAACCAGCTACGGAGTCTCTTCACTGACTGTGTTGCTGTTGATAATACACGGTAAGCAGGTCACTGAGATGATTGGAATATGAGATATATTGCACCGAGGCATTATATAGATTCCAATGTAACAAAACAGATGAGTTAACTTAGATGCTCATTTTTCAACTCACAGCATGCCAAGCCTTCCAGAGTCAGTGGCAACGAAGAGGTGCCCATGAAACAAGTCATATCGACTGAGAGACACGTTTAAGCCCACAGAAGGTCCTCTCTCCGCAATCAGTTCAAACAAGAAGGCAAAATATGTATTTAATTCCTGTTCAAAATGTTCAAGCATTTCACCACTGCTTACAGATCAGAATAAAGAAAGCGGAACAATCAGTTGACATTTCTTACCATGTTTGCAAAACGGTACCCATACGGAGTTCTTGTCAACTGACATTTATCTTTCTTCAAGCCCTCCACATCAGGCACCTAGGAAATCAGACTGACTTCAAGTCAAATTTCCGTCTGCTATTATTCATTCGAAGTTCACAAAGGTTAACCAAACATATAACTTATTTAGACATATAGGAAAGGAGGAATCATTCAAAAACCATACTTTTAGGGCTCAATTGGTATGAGAATTTCACTGAGATCATTGTGATATTACGAGATTTAAACCAATAAATATGCTTAACTTGAATCGACAACACAATAAATTTAGTAAAAGAATCGATTTCTATCACATAACAAAAGTAAAGATGAAATTCTCTAATATAACATAACCGGACTCACAGGCAACGGAGTGGGATCCAGCGCCATCTGGATCACTGACGGGTCGCCACCAGAGTCGACGGCGAGCCGGGCCAGCTCCATCACCGGCTCTGGCGGCCACCACACCATGTCGTCGGCATCGTGGCGCAGGCGGAGGTGCTTGTTCTCCTTTACGGGAGTGGCGGAGGAAAAAGGGACGAGGAAGCGGAGGCAGGAGCGGAGCCCCCGGGCCTCCGATGCGGGCACCTTCCCGGCGTCATGCGCGGATCCGAGGAGGGCGAGGAGGTGGGCGGCGGTGGTCCGGGGGGCGGAGGAGGAGGCGGCCTTGAGAGAGAGGAAAGATGAGATCTTGGGAAAGGGAGTGAAAAAATGAGGAGAGGAAGCCGCGAGGGTTAAGGAGAAGGAGAAGGCGAAAGAGATGGAGAACGCGAGCTTGCCGGGGATGGAAGAGCCGCCCGTCATCTCCTCCCAGCCCGGGAATAGATCAGCAAAGCGAGTCAGAATCGGCTTCTTCACCGCCCCGTTAACAAGTCCGCGTCGACTCGGGTCCCCTCGAATCGAGTTACATTTACTAAACAGCCACTATTAATTATTATTATTATTATTATTAGGTAAATTGCTTGATGTTTTCTTTATTACGAATAATCGATTCAGAAGTAAATTCCATAAATTCAAAGAGTTATATGAGTCGGGCTGGACGATCCGAAACTTCTTTCCAAATTCCACAACGAGTTGATCGATCATTTCTTTTATTCTATTATACACTTAAAAGTGAAAAATCCTTGCAGCACAAAACTTTCAATTTTTTACCCTCACGTTTCATAAGATAATTAATAAAAATGATAGAAAAATGAAAGTAATCTTATAGTAAAAGCCGAACATCTTAAATATATCTCCTGATAGGGAATATTTTAGCTATTGAGAAGCCCGCGTGAAGCGACTCAACATGTGTTGTCTCATAGGGAGTGAAGCCAACTTAGCGAATTGTACACGACCAATTTCATGTTGCGTGGAACCAAACAGATCGACACCACATGGTAGAAATCCAAATGAGCTAACTCGCATGATAAAGAACGCATGGGTTGGTCG